CGGTAAAATTGAAAAAATAGAATCTCTGGAACCACTCTGTATAATTGAATTAAATTTTACACACTATTGTAGAAATGTTTATACTATATAATGATCATTTATTTAACGTTAATTTGTTTAAATAAAAGAATTTTGCATACATTTATTATAAACAATTGAAATTTTGTGTACTTCACGCTGAAAAAAAATTAATCTTGTGTCATAATATGCGGCAAACGTTCCCGTTTAATAAAATGTACTTAAAAATTTGTCCTTCATATGTCATTCCGGAGATATTAAATATTTTGTCCCGCTGTGCGCTTGATCAGTACGCGGCGCGCTTCGCTGCTAGCTCGTCAGCACACGGTGTGCCTGAACGAAGTTTAAGTCACATAAAAATTCCACAGTTTGACCCTTTGGTGACTTAAAAATGATATTTACCAAAATCTTTTTTATGCATTATGCTTTTTACTATATAAAACAGTGATTTTTGTCTAACCCTGTATAAATCTAATGATGTGCTCAGTATAAAAACAGTTTTTCTCGTTTACAATATCGGCGTACAAATGTGTACTCTGGTAAAGGTAGACTTTGCGATAAACAAATAATTTAAAAAATATTGAATTTTTTACAAATTTAAAAAAAAACAGTTAGAATTTTGGTAAATATCTTTTTTAAATCACCAAAGAGATCAAAAAACTTTTTTCGTTCAAAATTGAAAACTACTAAAAATCCTAAATTAAACAACATTTTAAATACTCTCTAAGCGTTATTTTATTAAATTTTATTACAAATCTATTTTTCTTGTAAAAATGGCATTATTATTAACCTTTTCTTGTAAAAGGTTAATAATAATGCCATTTTGTAATCTGATATCTAAAAAAAAATTGGGAATAAATATTTTTCGCGTGTTATGCTAAAATCATGAATTTACGCTTTTGCATTATTAAAAATAAGTGATTTTTGGCTAACCCTGTATATATCAAATGATGTGAACAGTATTAAAAAGTATTCTCTAAGTCTCCTAAATAATATACTCCAATTTTATAAAAATCGGTGTGCAAATGTGTACTCTGTCAAAGAGATAAACAAAAATTTAAAAAAAAAATCATAAATTTTCGAACAATTTCGAAAAGAGGAGCAGCTACAACTTTGGTAAATATCATTTTTAAGTCACCAAAGGGTCCCAAACAAGAAACCACAATCAGTTTTTGCCGGCATTTTTATGTGACTTAAACGTTCAGGCACACCGTTAAAACGTTAGAACGGACGAGCTAGCAACGAAGTGCACAGCGGGACAAAAAAAATAATATCTCCGGAATGACATATGAAAGACAAATTTTTGAGTACATCTTATTAAACGGAAACGTTTGCCACATATTATGACACAAGATTATTTTTTTTTTCAGCGTGAAGAACACATACAAAATTTCAATTGTTTATAATAAATGTATGCAAAATTCTTTTATTTAAACAAATTAACCTTAATTAAATGATCATTATATATTCTAAACATTTCTACAATAGTGTGTAAAATTTAATTCAATTATACAGAGTGGTCCCAGAGATTCAATTTTTTCAATTTTACCGTGCTCTAAAGTTTGACAAAATTGTCAAGATGGGTTAATAACATTACCAAAAAAACGAATTTTAAAACAATTTTTTTACTGTGACATATGAGTCATGCCTACTACACAATAATGTGATTATTTTCAAAATCGGTGATTTCGTGAAATTTTCTGGTCCCACTTGACGTGGCTTGACTCAGTTGCTTCTTCGATTATTTACCCTTTAAAAACTATAAAGTTTAAATAAAATTATCACCACCGCCCCCACCACGTTAAAATCTAAACAAATTTTTTTTCATGGATTAATTGTCATTAGTAAGATCTACATTTTGTCCAAATTTCAAATCGATACGTTTTGAAATAAAAAAGTTATTTAAAAAAATAAAACCGTAGTTAAATTATATTTTCCTTCTCTGATTATGCCGAAATGATGATTATTTATAGGGAGTATATATGGATGCAATGCTGGGGAAGCAGCACGAGTTTTTTCCCAGCGCTATCCCAATCGTCCCCTGGACTCTAAAGTTGTTTGGCGTTGTAATTGAAGGTGCTCCCTAACGTATCAGAACACAAAAAATAAAGAAGCTATTTTTAATGCCTTTGATGCAAACAGTAGAAAGAGCATAAGGAAAGTCGCACGCGAATTTCCCGTTCACAGTTCAGCGGGTTATGAAGGACCTGCAACCGGAAGATAAAGTAGAATTCTGTAAGGTTGCTAGAGACTTTGGCTCTGGGGTACAGAACTAGTTGTATAATTTTTACTTTAAAACATTGTCATTTGAAGTATGACATTCCTTTTTGAAAGGTTAGTAATAATATAAGTCGTTTTCAAAAAACACCCGCCTTCCGCTGTCCGCAAGTTTGAATTCCAATAACTTTGTTAAAAATTATCGGATCTTATTGATTTAACAACCAAGTGAAAGCCTAACAAGCCCTTAGTAAACTCTTTCAGAAAATTTTTGTTTAGTTATTTCAGAATAATTTTTTTTTAATTTTGAAACTTGTGAAACACACAACTTCGTATGTCCCATTAGCGTTTTATAAAACTTACATACATGTTTTTTTTTTAAATATTGAATAACCAGAACTTTGTGTTGCTTTATAGCAATCTATAACATCCTTAGTTAATACAGTAAACAATTTATATATAAAATAATTAATTTTAATCTACTTTTTTTAAATTTGCGTTACGTCCGTCGCGTTACCGATAGAATATTAAAAAAAACATATATATGGCAACTTTTTTGGCACTCACGTGATCAACAAATGATGTTCGGACGTACATATTACCCAGCTGAATTTATTTATTCAATCAGGAAGAAGATATCGGTTAAAACAGGTGCGGGTAACGCGAATGTAATAATTGCTTGACCGCTAAGTTACTGAAAAAAATAATAAATATAAGGTAAGAAAAAATGCTATTTTTCATGTTTATGTTTATTTTAGGGCACTAAAGCTCATTGAGAGTAATTAATGACTGTAATGTCTTATTATTATTTTTTAAATATGGTTTCACAAAACTTTTTCCACTGCGTTACCGAGTCCATTATGTTACCTTATGGTAGCGCAATGGAATTTAGGGTAACGCAATAGAATTTTTCAACAACAAAGTGGATATTTACCGTCGCTTTTATTAGAAGTAGTTTATGATAAACCAATTTAAAATTATTTCTGATTACAACTTATGATATAGATTACACCCAAGGGAAAATTCCACGCAATATACAAGTACTAAAAGGGACCTTTACCAGCTTATAGTAAAAGAAAAAGGGTGTCTACAATTTAGAAATCTAAGTTGTTATTTTGCAAGTGAGCACCACTATAAGGAATTTTGTTTATGCATTACTCTAAAATCGTACCACTCTTTATAGTTTCTTTTTTACGTTATCTGATTAAGCCCCCCAGTCCGTTGTGATACCAATGTCTATTTTGTTACTTTTTTTTGTAAAAAAAAATATATAAAATGATTTTTATACACTATTACTTGGTAATACGTGTTTATAAATTAGAGTTTAACTCCCTATTCTGTAACTTTTTACAGTGACTACAAGAAAATATTAATGATATTGTTTTTTTAACAAAGAATCGGAATGGTTTCTTTTAAAAAGTAACTTAAAGAACATACATATTTAAAAAAAGCATACAATTTTTAATAAAAAATAAAATAAAAAATTGGAGTCAAAATATTTTTATAACAACTTTTTTTATTGAATTAAATTTTGGATTTCAAATTGGTAACACAGTGGAGATATATAAAGCTAGCTAAACACATTTTTCTGAATAAAAGTGAAAAAAAATAAAAAGTGCACTGCCTGTCTTAAATGTAAGTAAACAAAACTCTAAACATTTATAAAAATCCAACCAAAAGTCAATTTAAGCAAAAAAAAATGTTGATCTTCATTTTCCTGAATATTAAACCGATTTTACTCATTCTATTTATTGTTCTAGCATTTTTTTAACTTTGATTTTCTTTTTATAATAAAATTCTTAAATTTCAAAAATTGTGTTATCAGGAATACTTTAAATTATTATAAGGTTTTAAAAAATACTAATAATTATTGTCTACAGGCCCAATTTAAGTTAACATAATTATTATGTACATATATTATCTTTTTTAAATTTGGTTGATATTAATATTTAACTAAATTCTATAAACCCATAGTTTATTTATATATGCATTAATTTTGACCTTTAAAGTTTGAATATATAAAATGTACGTTAAAAACCAGTTAGAGGAAGTAACGATTTTTTTTGTAAAAATTTAATTAATTAGGTAATACATAATTAAATGCATTTTGGTTATTAATAAAACACATAAATTGTACTTAAAATGTATGTTTTTTGCTGTTAACTAGTAATTTAAGAGTCAAAAGTAAATTACATTTTGTAGGACATTTAGTAGTAGTCTTCTACAAAAAATTACAAAGAGTCGAGCCTCTAATCCTAATATTTTAAATTAGATTTATAAATATACAGGGGGCCAAGGAAAAGTTTCCACCCCGGTTTTCTTATATAATAAGGGTCAGAATACTTTTAAGATGATGCATCACTCAATCCTTACAAATATTATTAAAAACACCTTTTAATATTTTGTGTTTTAAATGAACCCAGATAAAAAAGTCTACGGGAGTTAAACCTTGCAATCTTGCCGGCCAATCCATTGTACAGGAAACACTCTGCACAGCATATTATGAAGGTGTTGGAACATTAAATGTAAATAATAAATTCATAATTATTATCCGTTTTTTATACTTTTTGCAGACAATTATAACAATGGGACCCGTCATTTAACAACATAACAATAAAAACATAAAAAACGATGTGCAATACACTTAAGCATCAGCGAAATCCTTGAAAAGGCAAATATTTAAAAATGCCGGCTAAAGATTCACTACGTATTTGAGCCGGGGAATTCAATGTCAAAAAACCAATACACTTACCTGTCTTTAATTTATAATTTACTTTGAAACGACCGATTTCGAAACCGAGTCCATTTATGGAACTCGAATTGTTATTTTTCCAATAAAGTGACTTAATTGATGTAATAGTTAATTCAATAAAAAACTATGTTAAGCATGTACAAAGTGTTTGTGATCGGTTTTTTTGCTGTCTGTTCTGGAAATAATTTTTCTGGCAACAGAAATAATGTGTGCAGAACATTTAAGGACTATGCCACTATATCGACTAATCCTAACTGTTTTTACAATCCTGACGTTGGAGCACATCCAGTAAGTACCAGTTTTTTTACTTTTATTATTATTTCATTCATTCATTTTATTCAAAAGCCAGCTTAAAAATGTTTTTTTTTTATTATTAAATAAACTTTTTTTAAATATTTTTAATAATTATATATAAAAAGATCTAAATATATTTATTTTTAAAAAGTGATATTATAATTTGCTTTTTAAATTTTCAACATCAAACTGCCAATAAACCTATAATATATTTTATGCACGATGACATTATAATATGACAATTATAACAAAAATTCTTTGACGTAAACGTCTTTTTATAGCCCGCGGGCGTTATTATGGCCCAGCGGGCTATAATGAAACGTCAAAAATTAAAAACAACAATGTTACACCATTTGATATATTCGAAGTAAGTTTTTTCGTATAAAGATTTTGATTTTACCGGCAGCAGGCCGCAATTTTTCGCCTTTTCAGCTGCTTCCTCAATTTCATTTATCTTTAAACTTTAAAACTGACTGATGTCAGTTGACATTATAATATGACAATTATAACAAAAATTCTTTGACGTAAACGTCTTTAAAAACAATAATATATTAAAAATAATAATATATTAATCGTGCATAAAGTTTTGTATGCATTGCTGGCATAACTGGTTTTTATGGTCCTACGACGCTTTTCTAGCCCTCGCGCTAACGCGCTCGGGCTCGAAATAGCGCCTCGGACCATAAAAACCTTATTATGCCCTTAATACATAAATAACTATTATGCACGATGACATTATAATATGACAATTATAACAAAAATTCTTTGACGTAAACGTCTTTTTATAGCCCGCGGGCGTTATTATGACCCGGCGGGCTATAATGAAACGTCAAAAATTAAAAACAACAATGTTACACCATTTGATATATTCGAAGTAAGTTTTTTCCTATAAAGATTTTGATTTTTTCGGCAGCAGGCCGCAATTTTTCGCCTTTTCAGCTGCTTCCTCAATTTCATTCATCTTTAAACTTTAAAACTGACTGATGTCAGTTGACATTATAATATGAAAATTATAACAAAAATTCTTTGACGTAAACGTCTTTAAAAACAATAATATATTAAAAATAATAATATATTAATCGTGCATAAAGTTTTGTATGCATTGCTGGCATAACTGGTTTTTATGGTCCTACGACGCTTTTCTAGCCCTCGCGCTAACGCGCTTTGGCTCGAAATAGCGCCTCGGACCATAAAAACCTTATTATGCCCTTAATACATAAATAACTATTATCTTCCTAAATTGACAAGCTGCGTTTTACTCACGGGGTGAAGTTAAATTTATTATAATTTGCGAAAAAGTGAGGTTAAATTCGTCAAATGTCAAAAATTTATGAATTAAAATTGGCTTTAAATCTTATTTCTGTTCGTCGTAGATAAAGTATAGTATGCCTTGTTTTATAAACTTCTCTAGACACTCGTTTTTATTAAACACTCGCTCGCACTTGTGCCCAATAAAACTCGTAACTAAAATGAGGTTTTTTAAACTTACATACATAATATACTATTATCTACTCCAACATTGACAAGCTGTGGCCTTATGGCGTTTTAGTCACGGGCTGCAGAGCAACAGTGGCTTTTGGGCACTTTAGTCATGGGCTGAAGTTAGCTGTATTATAAATTGCGAAAAAGTGAGGTTAAATGTCAAATATTTATGAATTAAAATTGGCTTTAAATCTAATTTCTGTTTGTCGTAGATAAAGTATAGTATGCCTTGTTTTATAAACTTCTCTAGACACTCGTTTTTATTAAACACTCGCTCGCAAGCTTCGCTTTTGCCTAATAAAACTCGTAACTAAAATGGCGTTTACAAAACTTGAAACATAATATACCACTATAATAGTATATTATGTATCGTTTGATAAACGCCATTTTATACACGAATTTAATTTAGGCACGAGCGAGCTTGCGAGCGACTTCTTAAATTAATGAGTGTATAGAAAAGTTTATAAACGAGGTGCATACTATACTTTTAAATCAAATATTTTTATAGAGCGCCATCTATAAAACAATTGGGGAATCTGTGTGTCACCGTCAAATGTCAAATTTTTATAAACACAGATTATATAGGTTAGGGAGTAGAAAAAATTATTTAAATCAGAAATACAAATTGAAGGGGAAAAACAAAAGTGAAGTGTAAAAAAAAATTGTTCAGTGTAATAGTTAAGTATCTTAAATAGCAGTTTTGTAAAATCTCCCAACAAAATATTTTTTTCACTTGGGTGGTTTTGCTTTTTATCCCTTAATATTGTTATAAAATAAATAATATCATTATAGACTAATTAATAGTATCTATATCCAATGCAAATACTGGTTTTTTATATTAATTAAAAATAATAGTTTTTTGTATTAATTAAAAATAATCATAAACTTTTAATGAGAGTTAAAATGTATTAAATTTATAATAGTTACCACACTATGATATAGACTAATTAAAAATTCGTTTAAATTAAATTGTTATTTAATGTCTTTAGAAAATCTAGAATATTAGGCTTATAGATAATTTGATTAAAAGTCACAATATCGAATAATATATGCCGCTCTATAAGCAGGGACAAGACGGGATATGCCGACTGTTTATAATTTTTTCCTATTTCTGGCTGGGTTCTGAGCGGCGTTTGCCGTCTTTAGTGCATATGAATTCCCTGTAACAGATGTTTACTTACTGTCCCAGCAGAAAATTTAAAATTTCATGAAATGTCCATGCTAACGTTGTGGTTAACCTAATAACATAACAATAGTGTTTATTGTAGAGGCTTTTTGAAAATCCATTTTCACCTAATGTCCGCGAACGTGTTAACGAATTTGCCAAATAACACTGGTCGACAAAATCAAATTGGACTTATTGCTACATGAACAATGATCCTAGGTTGAAGTATTTTCCACTCTCACCTTTAAAACGACAATTATTGTATATGATTTCATGACTCTAAGTGACCTTTTAAATAAACATTGACAAGTTGTGGCTTTATGGGGTTTTAGTCACGGGCAGAAGTAAGCAATAGGTTTTTAGTCATGGGCTGAAAAGTTAGTTGACAGTTGTCAAATGTCATACAATAATAATGTTTTTACTGACATTTTGATTTTGCCGGCTGTTATCTAGATTTAACTGAAAGCATTAAAAATTTCGGGTGGAGACTGAAGTGCCTATAAAACATTCTCTTCACTGTAAAAAAAACTGCTTCTATATCATCATTTGTAAGGTTGTAAGTCCATTTTCAAGGGATAAATTTCGATTTACACATACAAATTTGACTATCGCGTTGGTAATACAGCTTCCCAAGGTGGAAATTGTTACGCGAGTTACTCTATTATGTCGCTCTATACAAATATTTAATTAAAATTATTTTTAGTATTTGTCGTAGAAAAAGTTTGGTATGCAACTCGTTTATAATCTGTTCTAGACGCTCATTTAATTAAACACTCTCTCGCAAGCTCGCTCCTACTAAAATGATGTATATCAAACTTTACAAATAACATACCAAAATTTAAAAAATGTTTGCATATTAAAAAAAAGGTTTTTTTCTACTCCCACCTTTAAAACGACCATTATCGTGCATGTTTCCATGCCACTAAGTGACCTTTTAAATACACATTGACAAGTTGTGGCTTTACGGCGTTTTAGTCACAGGTTTTTAGTCACGGGCTGAAGTTAGTTTTAAGATAGTTGACAGTTGTCAAATGTCATAAAATCGTTAAAATAAAGTGCCTTTCTTGTAAAATAATACTAAATGTAAAAATTATTTTATTATCTCAATACAAAAATACAAAAGTATTAAATAGTTTCTCAACGCCAATATTTGAAAAGTTTATATGAAAATTGTACGATCTTTTAATTTCACCGGCAGTAAACTATAACTTAAATTCGGGCACGGACTCCACTGTTAAGTGCTCATAAAACATTTTCCTTACTTTCACTGTAAAAAACTGTACATTTTCAAGAAATACATTTCGATTTATAACCTTTATAATCTGTGTTTATAAAATATAAAAAAAATTACATTTGACGGTGACACACAGTTTCCCCTATTGTTTAAAAGATGGCGCTCCATACAAGTTTTTGATTTAAATCATTTTAAAATAATAATAAGTATTTGTCGTAGAAAAAGTATAGTATGCTCCTCGTTTATAAACTTTTATATACACTCATTAATTAAAGAACTCGCTCGCAAGCTCGCTCGTGCCTAAATTAAATTCGTGTATAAAATGGCGTTTATGAAACTTGATACAATCTCTTAAAAACAAAGGCTTGTTAGGCAACATTATGGCTATTTTGGAATTAGCGTATACACAAATTACCTTAAAAATTTGTGGGCAATGGTGTTCAAAGACGAAAAGGCATTGTAGCGTTTTTCGATCTGACGTTTAAATAGTTATTGGTTAAATAAAGTGGCCAATCAGAGGCGCTTTATCAGCTTGGATTTCCCGCCCCTCCCTTCACTGTTCTCCACCCCTTTTCTGCTTGTCATAATTTTTGTGACACTGTTGTATATTTAAAAGATTGTTCATATATCAGATTTGGCAAGCGCAAAGAGTCATCACTACTTATAGTTATGTCAGCAATATTCTTAAAGTTTTTGAATTATATTTTTCATTAACTTTTGATTGAAAATATTTTCAAACCATGTAAACATCAAATTAAAATTAATATAATAGTATTAAACAGTGCGTGCTATGCATATCCACTTAGTTTATAATGCGATGGACATGGAACTATTTATTAATTTTGTAAACGACAAACAATATTTTATTTTTAATTTTAAATTAACCCTCTTTAATTTTTATTATTTTGCTCTGCTTTTTTATTTGCTAAAATATAAGAATAATATTATCTTGAAATGTGCAAAGTTAATAAGGGAAATAAATAAATAATTCGTTTGTAATATATTGTAGACAATAAAATTGTACATCTTAAGAATAGTAAATATGTTCCTGGTATGTTTGTACTCGAGATGAATATTAATTAATTTTTATATATTGTATCATTAAATTATTGCTTTATATACCCACTGTTAAAGAATGTCATTTAAAGATTTACTATCTTAATTCGCCTCCAATCATAGACTACACTTCTAGTTTTAAATCACTTTAAAAAACAATACAACAAAATAAATTTTTCTTTCCACACCATGATAAACGTGAATTTTACTGTCTCCATGGGAACGAAAAGTAAGCGTTTTTACGGCTAGCCTTGCAAAACACCCACAAATGGCTAAGCAGTAAAATTACTTTTTACCAACTAAGTATAAATAACGGGTTATTTTTTTATAGCCTAGGAAGTAAAAAAATTTTACTACTTAAGACCTCAATAAAAAAATCGACTCCTGTCAGATTTATCCAACCTTACTTTCTAATTTTACTAATTGTACGTTTTTTGTATCGTTTAACAAAATTGTGCCTTGAAGATAAAATGTTGTAGGTCATTCAGCCAAGAAGTGTTTTTTGGCCCTATAACAAAAATGTATTGTTTTGTATATCTAATATTACACATATTTAATTATTTGGAAATAATTTAAACTAATAGTATTTTAATTTGGTGCATAACTATTTTCTTTTAAATTAGAGGATACAATTATAATTAAATTATAATAATTTCATAATTATTATAATTACAGTGACAGCATACTTAAATTATCCCTTTTAGTTTGCGGCCTCGCACTCTCAATTTTACCATAAATCAATGTAAATAAATGCGAAATATTGAAGAATTTAATACAAAAATATTTTGAGGACTAAATTTAAATAATACTTAGAAGGTAGGTTTTTGTTATTTACCCTTGTCAATATAATATTACTTAATTATATTTAAAAACCGAAACACCTAAATTATTTAAATTAATTTACTCTTGGCATTGAACTTTATATTTCATTTTAAGGAAGCAGATTAAATCTTACTTTTTAGGATGTTTTTTTGTTTTATCATATTGGTTTAATTTATGCTAATTTTAATTAATTGCAATTGTATGTTACGTTGAAAATAATTAACTATTAATAATATTAACTAATTATATTAATTGTTACTTAAATTACTTACTAAAAACTATGTGTGTATTAGGGTGTTTTTAATTCTATTACATTTAAATGAGTAGTATACAAAACTTGTTTGGAACCGAATAATATGTAGAGGTTGCCCATTATTAAACGTATATATTAACGTAACGTAATTAATTTGATATTTATAACAAGAAATTAATAATTAATATTAATTATAAAAATTATTTTGCTTAATTTTTAAAAATTAAACTATTAAAACGTAAAACAAATATCAGTTACATTTCGCTTCAAAGATTCCAAAATCGTTGGCAAAAAGTACTTTAAGCACTTTGTGTTTTGTTTTGGTGGAATATGGGGAATATAGGGGAATATTTCTATTACTTATTTGTTTAACATATCACCAAAGTTGTCCTTTTTCAAGTGTTAAAAAGTATTTTGTTTAGCAATATTCATGAGTTGGTTATTTCTCGTTTTTAAATAAACACCCTGTATATTAGGAAAATTAACAATAAGAAACACTAAAATCAAAAATACCACATATTTATTTATACTTTATTGTAGCAAGGCATTCCCAATAGTTTTAATGATTTTTGCCTTGATGGTCTTATTTAAATAACATTTACTTACGTAAAGTAACCCTTTTAAAATAATTACATTAATGACAGTATACATGGCGGTGTTTTTATTGGCATATTAACTTACTTATAAATTCAATAACAAAGCCAATAATAGTAATTAAATTTGATAAACATATTTTGTTTATTAATTAATTAATTAATTACTATTTATAGAAAAATGTACTACAAATTACGTAACAATCATTACTATAAAATGAATTGTGAAATTTAATTAAATATTTACTCTCCAAATAAATGCTTAATAATATGGTAAAATAATTTAATCGAACCGTTTTATAAATATCAAGGAGTGTTTGCCTAATTTTAATACTTCTAATAGTTTTGTATTTGTCATTAGGTATAACAATTGATGATTATCACCTTGCCAATATGTTTCGACATATAAATTTGAATTATTAAGATAAAATCAAGGCTATATTTATATAACATGCAGAAAAATTTGAAAAATTTTAAAATAATTACTGAAATTTTAGATCGCAATACAGTAAAACCGGTGGTGAACTGTAACACTTTAGCACCAAAACTGTAATCCTAATTAGGTACCTACTTAAGAAGCTATTTCCTAAAGGGTGTTTTTATCCTTTAGCACAAAGGAAGTAATTATTATATCCAGGTGCAAGTTTACTAACTAATTTTTGTTATTTACAGTCTATAATAGCACAGAGATATGGCTATCCATTTGAAAAATACAAAGTTGTGAGTAAAGATGGGTATATAACAAGTATGTACAGAATACCAAATAACAATAAGGATTTAAGTAAAAAAAGGATACCTGTGATATTACAACATGGAATAGCAATCACATCTGCAGCCTGGATGCTTAATGGAAAAAAATCTATAGGTAATATATATTCATAAACATACATATTATACATATACACCGTATCCAAAGTTATCTGCTCACTATAATGGTTGCTAACTCCCTTATTATTGGAGCTACAAATTTGGTTAAATTAGCAAATTTGTGGCATTTTTTCTTCCGATTAAAATGGTGAATACAAAAAACAATGGAACGTTTTTGTTTAATGGGACACTCTGTATACATATTTTTACATGTCTTGAAAGACAATTTAATTTGGAACAAACATTGAAATTGCATTAATAACGTAAACTTAAAAATAACCAAGGGCTTATTAATTGCTTAACCAAATATAAATATTTCAAGACAATAATTATTATATTATGTATTTATTATAAAAACGAGAATCGCACTGGTTTCTTTCTCCCTTTACACGAAAGGGAAGTGGATAATTATAATCTGGAAACACTGCTAAAGTATGCCAAGCTTAAAATAAAGCCACTATTATTCTGATTAAAAATAAAAAAAATTTAATAATTATTTTTTAAATGAGTATCTAATTCATTAATGATTTCTATTATTTTAAGAAATCAAGATACCTTTTTATCAGGCGTCATATTTTCCATAATTATTTCATTCGATTAATAAATTGTTTTGCAGAAAAAATAATATTTAAGTAAAATTTACTACAATTTTTCTTATATACAGGGTGATTGATGGTCGATGGTACGTTAGACGTTTACGGAGGATGGGATATGGGATGGGATAGGAATGATCTGAAAATTTGGTTTCTTAAGTAATTGCTCCTGATCTATCGATCTAAAATATTTTTAACGATGCGACGTTGCCGCATTATTGCATTAATTAATTAAAATACAGGGTGTTCCGTTTAAAAAAATGCACTTTTCACCAATTTTGTTTCTAGCGGTAAAGTAACTCATTTTTACCAACCCTGTATAATGTAGATCAAATTTTCTTACTCAGAAATAATACACAGGACCTTCCTAAACTACGCCCAAAATTTCAAATTTCTACGAATCCCAGTGCCTTAGTAAAAATAAATTAATTGGAGCTATGTTTTCAAGAAAAAAATAATAAAATTAATTTATATTTCGAAAACCACTAGAGTTAGGTATAGGGAAGTTTATACGAAAATATTCAAAATTCAATAACGGATCAAAAAATGCAATAACATTTAGGGAATCCCATTTAAAATATCACCGGTGATAATACTTTTTTGTATACGCGGCAACTTCCCATCGTTAAAAATATTTTAGATCCATAGATCAGGAGCAATAACTTAAGTAACCAAATTTTCAGATCATTCCTATCCCATCCCATATCCCATCCTCCGTAAAAGTTTAACGTACCATCGACCATCAATCACCCTGTATATACTTTAAAATATAAGTTTTATATAAGTTGATACGATTAAAATATATATATATATATATTGAATTTTATATATAATTAACTTAAATACCCACCTATCATTAATAATATCGATGAACGACTGTAATTACAGCCGTATAATTTACAAATCAACCAACATTATCTAAAAAATACGAGTGCAAATAATGAATTTTTATTTCGAATACTTTATTAATGCAACACACCATACACAAACAAAAATCATGAACAGGCAACGCCATCGCTCGGGGACTTTTCAAACTTAAAATTTTTTATATCGAACTTTGCATGGTGCTAAATTCAATACATATATATTTTTAATCAACTAATTTTACTTATACAGTGTGATCCATTTGTTTGCGACTAACCCCTGTAAAATCTTTATTTATTGTGCGATTTTAACCAGATTTGTTTTAAAGTGTGGATCTTGATAAACTTTATTTTTGAAGCAAAAAACGCCATATTTTTACAAAGTACAAGGGGTACTATGTCAGTTTTTTAGAGTAAATTTTTAAGAATTCATATTGGCGATTTTTTAAACAAAATCTAATCATGGCAATGGATTCACCACCCCTCAAAACGACCCTACACTAAATTTTATTTAAAAATTTTAAGAAAAAAAATGCACAATAATTACCACAAAAATTTATTTTGTCAAGTTATGCATGAAAAAAATATTGAAATAAAATTAAACTAATAGTAACATGGTACTATTACTACAAGTTCAATTTTATTTCAATGTTTTTTCATGGATAACTTGACAAAATAAATTTTTGTGGTTTTTATTTTGCATTTTTTTCTTAAAATTTTTCAATAATATTTAGCATCGGGTCGTTTTGAGGGGTGGTCGTGCTTAGATTTTGTTTAAAAAAATCGCTAATATGAATTCTTAAAAATTTACTCTTAAAAAGTAACATAGTAGGACTTGTATTTTGTACTAATATGGAGTCTTTTGCTCCAAAAATACAGTTTATCAAGATCTAAACTTTAAAACAAATCCGGTTAAAATCGCACAATAAATAAAGATTTTTAAGAGGTGAGTCGCAAACAAATGGGTCACACTGTATATAATTTTTTCTGCAAAACATATTATATATCGAATGAAATAATTATGGAACATATGGCGCCTCATACGTTCTCAACTATCTATACATAAAGAAAAATCTAAAGACCTTTCTTTAACGGTGTGATTCGATACAAAAAATGTTTAAATTGTTGGCGTTTTGTTTATAAAAAATAATCGTTTTGTAAAGTATACTTTACTACTTTAATTAATTACGTATCGATGTATCAAGTCCAGTTTCAAGGAAATTACTGTAATAAACACCTCCCATGATGTTAATGTCATCAAGGTATAGCAAGTAGCATTGACATACTGGAAGATATGCCGTTATGCGTTAGCCTTTTTTAAATAATTTAAAATGTTTTTTTTTATAAAAAAAAATATAAATATAAGCAGGTATAAAAGTTTATGTTTTGATATCTCAAAATCCAAATCTGTTACGACATTTTTCATATAAGTTTCCTGAAAACAGTTTTTGCATAATGCATAATTGCATAAGTTACACAGTAATGGATCATGGTTAAAATAAAATTTTTGTTAAAAAATGTGGCTCCATAGGAAAGTGCTTTTTTAAATCCTTTTTACATTGAAACGCACCTCGTAGTATATAAATCGTTTTTAAATATATTTGTATATTTTAGCATTTTACTTATCAGACCAGGGATTTGATGTTTGGTTGCCAAATGGCAGAGGAACTGAATTTTCTACAGAACATGTTAACTTAACCACACAAAGTCCAAAGTACTGGGATTTTAGGTAAATATTGTACTTATAATAATAATTGGTATTAAGGAGGTTCGGGCTATGAGGAAAGGTTGAAAAAATTGTAGGTTGTAGTAGAGACTCTACTGTAGTCTTTAAAAAGACATTTGCAGAGTTTTGGAAAGATTGAGCGCCTGGTTTCATAGTAAAAAATATTTATAGTTGACTATCGTTTATTATTGCTAAACTGTGTTGGGAATGCGTATATTTTAACGTGACATTTGAGGATATTTGGTTTGATTTATTAGATGACAACCATTATTAAGTTTTTAAAGTTTACAAAAACTTAATTAGTCAACAAATTGAATATAAGAACCTGAAAAATGTACGCCATTAAATTTTGACCAATGACAGATTACGTGGTAACCATAGATACCGTCAATTCAAGGTTTCTTGATACAAAATAATATTTAAAATTTTAAAAATTGTTAATTAAATATCTCTAAAATTATAAACTAAGTAGGTACTCATATGAAATCTTTAAAATAATGTTATAAGATTACAAAAATTTCACCGCCATATCCGCAAACCTAATAACAAAAAAGTTATAGGCTATCTATGATTAACGCGCATTTGTCAAATTTTAACGAAAAAAAATTAATAACTCGAACTATTTACTTTAGGTATTGGACATGCTATAGTAATTTTACCCAGATTTAAAAATTTAAAAATATATGGGGTGTTCTATTTGAAATAAAAAAGTTGATGTCATTTCCGGTTAAACCGGAAGTGAAATTTTATTTAAAATTTTTTAGAAAATAGACTTAAATGGATTATTAAAGCTTTAAAAATTTCAAATTTTGTTACCCAAAAACTTCTAATGGATACCAATGTGAAACACCCTGTATAGTGTATTTTGTACTGAAATATAAAATAAATATAAAATCATTTAGAAAATTGGCGGTTTTTTAAATGAAATGTTATATCAAAAAAAAAATTTTTTAAGTTGGTACCTATGGCTACTTATGCATGAAGTATAGAAGCAACTCCCCTTACCCCTTTTCCCGCAATGTACTGCCCGAACCTCCTTTAATGAAGGCAACCTGTTTTTTATTTCTCCTTTTAAATTCTTATTATTTATATTACATTTAATATTCTTGCTGACTTTTTAGTTTCCACGAAATGGGTATCTATGACTTACCGGCAATAATAGACTTTGTAGCACAAAATACAGGACAAAAAGGCAATATTATATACATAGGACATTCTATGGGTACAACTATGTCTTTTGTGTACGCTTCACTACTGCCTGATCACGCCAAAGAAAACTTAAAGGGTATAATTTCTTTGGCTCCAATAGCATACCTTAGGAACATAAGAAGTGTGGTTAAGTTTGCTGTACCCTTTGCGGATATTATTGGCGTAAGTATAAACTTAAGAAAAAATGAACAAAAAAGTTTACATTTTTAAAATAAAAGTTATTGACCAAGTTTATAACAAAAATTAATGTTATTTTAACGTTTTTATTACTCTAAACTTAATAAAGTTTTCTTTTGGTATATTTTTTAGAGCCTTTTTCTTATTATTTTCTTTTAATTACTATTAAACAACACGTACTTATTTACAGTGAAAAATTACAATTTCCTTCTAACAAAACTAACTCTGGTTAAATTTCCTTTAACATTTGAGGTAAGTATATAATAAATAAAATGCTTTTTAAAATTATGGTTTAAATTGTAAAGTTTATTTAATAAAATAGTTAATGAGCTTTTGTTGGTTGATGAGTATTTAAATTTTTAATGAATGGCTTTTCTCATCGCTAAAACATTGCCTAAACTACTTTTTAAAACGGTTTAAAAATAAAATGGCAACTTGCTTTATGAAGTAACATGGAAAAAATGTATTTATTTTATGGTTACAATTAAAAAATGTCGATTGTACATTTTTTTAAATAATACGGAGACATTCATACCCAATATAAAAAACTTCATTATTTAATAGTGCAAATGCAAAGCAAATATAACTTTTTGGTATGGTCGAAAATATTAATATTGCTTTCATTTTTTACTTTAAAATATATACTTTTTTAATTAAATATAATTTTAATAAAGCGTAGGTACGTAGATTTAAAAAAATAAAAGATTCCTAATCAAGCTTTAAATAAACCTCAATACAATGCTTAAATTGGTACCCTAGTAGTATCCTGTAAATAAAAGGTAAAAATTATTATTATAATCAATGCATTTACTTTTAGAATCTATTGGAAAACTTGGGCATACATTCAGTAGGAAACGTTTATTCCTTATCCAGGCAACTTGTGTCATCTGCCTGTATTATGTACCCTCTGATAATCCCTTGTGAAATATCAAATATTTTTTTGACAGGACTATCATTCGGACAAGTATCACCGGTAATGTATTACAATCACCAAAAAAAAATAAACAAATTTGAAATTTTTAGGAGACGATTCCTGTTATTTTAAGCCACTACCCCACAGGCACTTCAATAAAAACTTTAAAGCACTTTGCGCAACTTTATAATTCGCATGGAAAATTTAGGTTGTTTAATTATCAACGGCAAGAAAATTTAAATCATTACAATAGCGAACTTCCTCCCGATTATCCTGTTGAGCAAATCAAGGTGCCAGTAACGCTTTTCGTGGGACGAAGCGATTTTTTATCGAGTGTAGATGTAAGTGGTTCATTAAATATACAATTTATATACAGGGTGTACTGCTTTGTAAATTTCTAAAATTTAAAAAAATTCTCCCATCATTTTTTATATTCATACTACTGTGCAAGTTTGTTCTATCTACAGGTAACTGTACTTTGTCTTACCTTAGTCGATCGGTTTTTCTATGCTAAGCATAGCTTAAGAAACAAAAAAGCACACTAGATTCGGATAAGAATACCGTGCTCTAAATGGTTTATTGCTTTTATTACAGGTCATTTTCTATAGAAAGTAAGGTCGCAAAACCCCCAGTAATATTTTAAAGATATTCTCATTTCAAAAACATACAGGGCTTAGCTGGATTAGAATTATCCAGAACAGTGGATTGGTAGAAGAGAACCAATCGAATGGCCTCTCAGATCGCCAGATCTAACACCATTAGAGTTTTTGTCATGGGGTCACTTAAAATCTGTGGTCTAAAAAACTTATTCTTAGCCTCATTCTATTAAAGATATGCGACAACGATTTCGAGCTATTCCACGACAAACATTTTAAAATGTTTGAAGGGAATTTAAAAATAGGTTACAAAATATTGGGAGTCATTTTGAGCATTTAATTTAAAAAGCTTAAAATTATAAAGTGTTGAACAATTTATTTATCTATGCTTTTTTAGTTTATTAGTTTTGTTCTAAGAAAGAAAATGTGTATTGCTACAAAAGCATATGGGCCATTCCACGCTTAACGGATAGGACAGTTGCCGTGTTTTTATTTACAAAATAATATTGTTCTATTATATTACCAATGTAAAATTTTTATAAATAGTTCTAAACTAAAGCTGTTTAACAAGGTTTAAACAGCTTTAGTTTAGAACTATTTATAAAAATTTGACATTGGTAATATAATAGAACAATATTATTTTGTAAATAAAAACACGGCAACTATCCTATCCGTTACGCGTGGAATGGCCCATATACTATTGACCTAACCACATTTTATTTTAATTTTAGAGCAAATATCTGTTGGTCCAATAGTATGTATTGCTTTATTCAAAAGCTTCTGATCTTTACTGAAACTACCAGAGTTTTTAGTATTTAAGCTTAAATTTCCCTCACCACATAGGCCTTTTGATTTTAATTATTAAAACATGCATTTAACAATTAAAATCAAGGACCTTCGTAGTGAGGGAAGTTTAAGCCTAAATATTGGCAGTGTTGAAAACTGGAAGCTTAAATGCAAAAAATAGTTTACAAAAAAAGGACATTTATTGTAATAGCTTACCTTCAGAAACAAAAACAAATTAATTAAATTTTTTTGCAAATAAAAGTTTTAATGTGAAAGTACATACAACACGCCATAACACAACACAACCGGCAACATGTAGGTATATTATAAATACCTATAATGGAATTATAATATTATATCACTGCCCCTAGAAAATTGCAACTTGCAATGATACAAAACGTAGGGGATGCATTTTGCATCCCCTCCAATGTTTTAGAAGCTACAAGATTTTGTTAGAAAATTGACATGCTATTGGAATAATTGTGATGTATCCTGAATAAATTGCGTGAATATAAATAATTTTCATAGCTTTTGAACTATACTTCTTCTATACCAAGAACCAACAACTTTTTTCTTCAAGCAATAAATACTCTTATGCTAAAATATTGTTTCTTGCCGCTAATAATTTTTTAACAGAGTAGTCAATACTTTAGTTTAATGGTTCCTTTTTTCAGTGTACAGTGTACAGTAACAATGTCTAATTTATTATTGTTTTATTTCAAGGATGTTCAAGTTTTATTTAATCGACTTCGAGGTCCCAAAAGTATGCAAGTAATGAACGAAAATGGAAAATACGAATATGCTCATAATGACTACGTTATAGGTCGACAAACTACTTTATTCAGAAAGGATTTGCTAAATACGTTAAGAAATCTCTAAGTTTGAATAACAATTTCAATTTTAATACTCACTCTGTACGCTTGTAATTTTATTTTAAATTCATAAGTGTTTTCTTTGTATATAGTTGTTAAATAGTTATTAAATATTTATTGTTATGTTGGTATTTTCCTTTAACCACCTAGGTACCTATTTTTTTTTAGATATTTAACAAATATTCAATTTAATACCGAAGCCTTTGGAAAAACATAAAAATTTATTTTTAAATATTAAAATCAATGGTGTTTTTTCTAAATTTAGTAAAAGATTTCGTTCGAAATCTTAAGGACACTCCATGTATTTGTATACAATATTTAGAGTGATCACTGTTTATGAACTATTTTTATACTACACTGTACACTCTTGAAAAAAATAAATCAAAAAACATCTACCCGGAAGATTTCTTATGTTCCCTTAAACTCTTTGAAGTCCTAAAAACGAAGAAAGGAAGGCTTAGATAGAAACAAGTTTGACGGATAATGAGAGATAGTTAAAATGTCTATATTTTTTTTAGAAACTACTAAAATCAATAGGAGTCTACGCGTTATCTCCTACCCCTCTCCAGAAATCTTTATTGGAAAGATCATGTAACACATTTCCACTAATAGTAAAATGTGAAGTATTTGTTTCGGCTTTTAGTGGATTATCAGTGGAGCAAATAGCACCAGTAAGAAAAAAATCCTTCATCATAAATTTACATTTCATCTGCGTACTGTCTTGTACAGCAAAATTATGGGGCGAATTTCAGGAAGTTATTTTTGATTTTACAGGGTTATAAAAAAATTTGTCGTCAAAATAAAACACACCCACGTAACCAAAAATAATTTCCTAATAGCACCTTAGGATATAGGTAAAGTCTGTAAAATAAAAAATTATAAACACCAACTATTTTTAGGAAGCTCTTCCGGTTTTCCTAAGTCATTACCCAACCGGAACTTCGGTTAAATCAATGCTACATTACGCCCAATTAATGGCCAGTGGTGACTTCAAATTTTTTGACTATGGAGCCAACAAAAATAAAATTTTATACGATAGAACGACCCCACCTGAATATCCTCTAGAAAAAATAACAATTCCTTTTAATTTGTTTGAAGGCAAAAAAGATTATATTTCTGATATATCGGTAAGTAAACCAATGATACCAAAACATACAAGTTATATAACTTGGTATTTTAGGATGTTAAATTGCTGTTTGACAAATTAATTACCACAAAAAATACAACACTTATTGATGAATTTGGAAGATATGACTATACTCATATTGATTACCTTACAGGACGACATACAAAGATGTTATTAGGAGAAATTAACAATGCTTTAAACTACTTTTTTAATAAAACCCTATGAAAGCATTATTAAACTATTTTTTCTACGACCACTATGTAAAAGTCAAATTTCGTACTGGCATCCTTGCTTAGAAAATTAATCTTTTCATTGGCAAAGCAAAACACGAATGTAAAGTGACATTTCTGTCTGAAAAGTGACAGGTCTGTGTGAAAATAAACTGACAGCATCGTTTGACATTCGTTTCAAAATTTGTATTGTATTTGTATATATATGTCTAAATATCATTTAGAACACAATTAATTGTGTTTGTATAATAAATTCTAATTTTTAGTGCCTTTATTTAAATTGAGAAGGTAAGTTTATTGATTTTAAGTAACTTATACCTTAAAAATTAAAAGAATAAGATGAAAGTAATTTTAAGAGCTGACAAACACGTTTTTATATAATAAAAAATAAAATGGTAGTAGAAAAAACATTGTGTTTCACTTGTGAGAAAAGCTTTCTTCAAGCTCGTGTTAATGCACACTTGGCCTGACGACCTCGTGAGCAACTTAAACACTCGCATGAAAAAGTCGCTTTTCAAAACTTGTAAAACAAATAACTATTTTATGCATAACCCAAACTTTTGTAATTTATTTATTTATTCTCGAAAGGGAAAAAAATAATTTTATACTCATTAAGCTAAATTTTCATGTATCCGTTTGTCCGTTATCCGTTTTTCAATAAAATTGTCCGACAAGAAATGTTCTTGTTGGGGTATTTTGGGGTATTTTTGGTAAAAACAAACCGTTATTTATTATAAAAGGTTTGTTCTAGCATCACATTTCTGACGGTCTTGTTGCAAACGGTTTGGGGCCATTTTCTGCTAATTCTCACTCAACGCTAAAACGCTTATTTCGAATCGAAAATGTGATGCAGTACCTACTGCAGTACCTACTGCCTTAATAGAGTTACAATTTTGTTATTTTTACTAAAATAAATATATGAATGTATTTCTAAAAATGTTTTTTTTGTACATACCTACCTTATTTCGCATATCAAGTGTAAATACTGATTAAATCAACATTAGTGGAATTAGCTTTCATCTTATTATGCATGTATTTGAGAAAAAATTAATTAAATTTTATTTAAAATAAATTTTACCCTACCTACTACTTAAAGCAAGTAAACCCCTAAATTAAAATCAAATTAAATGTAAACTATTTTTAGTAAAAGTATTGCTTACATTTAATCTACAATATTTTTGAAACAAAAATAAAAAATACTTTAGAGTAGTATTAGCAGTTATTAAAAAAATCAGGGGATATTTTTGAAATAAGTATAAGAAATATTTTGAAATAATGATAAGTAGTTTTTAGTGAACCTTACCTAAATTCTTAAGAATAAGGCTATATTATAATCAAATATTACACTATGTAACAAAATTTGATTTTTGTTTTGTTTATTGGATATTTTTGTTAAATTATCTGTGTGCCAAAAAACTATTCTAACTTAATTTAAAAAATTTAGTGATTAGTGATTTTTTAAGGGGTATTTAATAAATACTATTTAAATAATATAATCAAACCCAGTTTTATCAAAAACAAAAAAAAATATTGACAAGAAATGGCAAGAAATTCAACTCAGAATTATTATTTTAACAAAACATACAATCTAGAAAAATATATTTTTAACATAGATTTTAAATCTTGGCTCAAAAATTAATTTTAATACGACTTTTTCTTTTATATGATGCATTTTCTTCCCGAAGTAGATTCCAAACATAGTCACCCATCATTGTCGCATCAAACCTTCCTTGTTATCACTTTTCCATTGCCCGAATATCTTGATGGAATCTTTCTCCATGTTCTTCGCTGACATCTCCCAGATTTTCACGGAAAAAGTCAAGATACGAAGCAAATAGTGTAGGTACTTTCAACGACATGCGGCATCCCATTTCTTTAAAACTTCCTAATAAAACTTTGACAAGGTCAGTATAATTTTCTCTTTTGTGGTTACCAAGGAAACCTTTCATTCAAAATCTCACGTTAACTTTTGAGTTTAAAAAATATGTATTATAATCCAATTTTGTTAAAAAAAAATTATTAATTTTTTTTACATTACAAGTTTAATGGCCAAAATCTTACGATTTGTGTAATAAAATGCAGATAAACAAATATCATGTTACATAGTGTTATGTTTTTTTGTGGACTAGTGAAACGAGTATATATTGGGCAAGCTATTCTTTAATATAGTGCAGCTTTTTTCCGTGTAGTTTTAGTTTTGGTTTTAATATTTTTTTGTTTGTGTTTTTTTTTCGTTCTGAAAATTAAGCTTTACGGTGTCTCCGATCAAAAAAGCTGAATTTTGAATTCCCTATATGGGTGAATATTCAAAACGGGGATAAATTGGGGTGGTAAAAAAATAAAAAGCAAAGATTAATAAAACACTAGCAAAATAATACCTCAATGTGTATTTCTTAATAACATAAAGTAATTTCAAGGCAGCTATAAATTAAACTTAATATTTACATCAAGTTATAATAATAATACTATTAGAGAATTTTTTTAAAGAAAAATTTAATTTAATTTATTATAATTTAACTATATATTATTAATTATCGTTAATAATGCCTTAACTTATATGAGCTAAGAGTTTAGGGCAATAATAAGAAAGTAAACAACTTCATGGACATACCTTTTAACTCCATGGAGTTGATGTCCATGGAGTTGATGTTTTTATAGTTAAAGTCACAAACTTTAGAAAATGGTACATAATGTATCTTTAGTTAACTGTAATTTAAGCAAAGCATATATGGTTATTTCACCTGGAGAAAGTTTAAATTTCAATTGTATTTAAATCCCTTTGTTATTAAAGACATGGAGTTGATTCTTTTCTCGTCGTGTCATGGTGGAGTAGAAGACACAACATGCCACAAAACGAGTATATTGAGCGTCATCGCAAATTGTACGGCCGCAGACTCGATTATGAAGAACGTAAGAGGAAACGCGAGGCGCGTGAGCCCCACTAGAGGGCTGCCACTGCAAGAACTCTTCGTGGTATTAAAGCAAAGATTTTCAATAAGGAACGTAGAAATGAAAAGATACAAATGAAAAAGAAGATTAAGGCACATGAAGAGAAGAAAATCAAGAAGACCACAGAGAAAGTTGCAGAAGGTGCTCTGCCAGTATATCTATTGGATCGTGATGTTCAATCCAGAGCCAAGGTTTTATCAAACATGATAAAACAGAAACGTAAAGAGAAGGCTGGAAAATGGGATGTTCCTATACCTAAAGTAAGAGCACAAGCAGATGCTGAGGTTCTTAAGGTGGTTAAATCAGGAAAAACAAAGAGAAAGGCCTGGAAACGTATGGTGACCAAAGTTACATTTGTTGGTGAAGGTTTTACCAGAAAACTACCTAAGTTTGAAAGATTTATTAGACCAATGGCTCTTAGATTTAAAAAGGCACATGTCACACATCCTGAACTAAAAGCTACATTCTGTCTACCTATAATTGGAGTCAAGAAAAATCCCAGCTCAACAATGTTTACAAGCTTGGGTGTTATTACTAAAGGTACCGTAATTGAAGTTAACATTTCTGAATTAGGTTTAGTGACACAAGCTGGTAAAGTAGTTTGGGGTAAATATGCCCAAGTCACAAACAACCCAGAAAATGATGGATGTATAAATGCTGTTCTTTTAGTTTAGGTTAGTTGGTTTAGGTTAGTTGATCTTTAATAAAAATACTTACCCGTTTTTTCGCAATTAATTGTTCTTTATAAATTTTTATTAAATATTACACCCACTTTGCCTTGCTTACACAAATCAACACTAAATCACTCAAACGACGAAGTCTTTAAACATTACTAAAATACGTTTTATACAGGGGATTTATCATATATTAAAAGACTGCAAAGAACTTAGCTGTAAAATGGTGTCTGATGCTTTATTCGACATTTTGGTTTAAAATATTAATAAGTTTGCTTTTGGTTGTGTTTTTTTATACATTCCAAGTTAAAGGATATGAAATATGAAAGAATCATTCCACAATTGCATCTAGTCTAATAGTATATGGATGATTTGTTGTCCCTACGCTAGGTGGTGACAGTCCATGGAGTTGACTTTAAAGCGTTTAAGCAAATTCAAATTAATAAAATAAATAATGTTTTATTTTTTTGGTTAAGTACGTTCTACTGCTAGACATAAACTATCTATTTTAGTGTTATTTAAATGCTAACTACTTTCATTAGTATATTTTATTTAAGAGTTTCAGCATATTTGCTCCGTTTTGGAGAATCACCCATATCTCCAAATTGCGGACCTAAGTTGATATAAACTTTTTTTCTTAAATCTTCCAAGGATTGAGTCCATTTAATATCAGCATCAAATTAAGAAACAAACTGTATTGTTGCTTTCTTTAATGTTATTTTTATGATTTATTTGTTTTTTATTATCTGGCTTTGCTTTTGTATAATTGCCTTTGTCGGTTTTGTACGATAATACTTTCTACAAATTATCTCTTTCCTTTATTAAATTTATACACTTATATATTTTATAAATATTACCCAATTATAAATCAGTCTTTAGGAGCTAATTTGGATGAGTGAGTTCATATATTAATAGAGTTAAGCCCTTCCCTAATTTTTGTTCAAGAAGTTTAATAATTAATGCATTTTCACGTGATCGAGACAACAAGGACCAAAAGTTCGTGGTAAGAGAATGCCCGAAGGATTAAAGTTTTAAGCGAAATTCTGACCAATAGTATAGCTGCGACTCTAAAGTCATTAATGAAGACACTAACCGCTACTTTTCCCTTAAGTCTCCAATTAGAAGAACATAGCAGTTGTTAGTGTTTACTCTTATGCTATTACAATAATTTTAATTATTTTAACATTTAACAATAAATTTAAAAACAAACAACTAAATTGAAAAGACTATAATTATGCAAAATCCATATTAAAATTTTAATTAATGATTAGTAAATTAATTAAATAACAAAACATGCATGCATGCAATCAAAAATCGGTTCGTTTAGGCTCGTGAAACAATTCACTGATTTTCTATAATTAATCACTAATTAATAAACAAAATATTAAATTAATCAGCGTAAACAAATTTAAAAATACATATCTGGAGTACACATGAATCGAGTCGGCATTATTTAAACTCATAATTAATTGGCACAAAATCAAAAGTTTAAAAGTTTGCAGTGATTATATTTGTTGCACAAGTAACATTTTAAGTGGTGTCCGGTGTCACTAAAACAGGTTTTCAAAACAAATCATTTACTTAAATGCTGAATTAATGCAAAAAATTAATAGGATGTCTTGACAATCTAAAAAAATATTAAAATTTTTGTTAGCATAAATTTATAAAAAAACTTTCTTACATTCACAAAAGTTGACAGAGTCAAAGGCCCAAAATTGCCAATGGTGAAACAAAGCGGTTTCTTCAGGGTCAGCAAAGTAAAATTTATACCATATTTGAATTTTTTACTCATTGCAATCCAATTCGACCTCCAAATAAACATACACAACTCATCGGCCTAAAAAAATATTATAAGTAATTTTTAGATATCTTGTATAAAATACTTTTAAGGTGACTTCGTTCCCGAACCAACAGAAAAGAAAAACCTGAATTCCCATTGCCAATAAGTAAAATGCCTCTGCGAAAAACTCCTCACTCAACAAAGATTTCTAAAAAAAATTAAATAAATGCTGAGATTTTTTCCATCAAATTTTTTACCGTTGAGACCATATATAGACAGGTACAAAGAATAAACAAAGTTGCTATTGCTTGGGAAAATATAAGGTAGCGTGGGATGTATTCTAATTCCTCACAAATTCTAAAAAAAAAACGGCGTACACACTGTTTAAAATATCTGTGGTGTAAAGAGTACTCTTTAAATGGTGTCAAAATCCAACACCAAGGTAATATAAAGACCATGAATTATGGTTGAAAATGTTATATACAGCAAACACCAAAACGGTGTTTATCTAAAAATATTTGAGAAGTGCACCTACACAGAAAAAAAGGAATAGTTCATTTAACTATATTAATTTAGTTGACAAAGATTAGTTTGACGGTACTAAACCAGATAGTTATTTTTTTTTTTAAGTGGTTGAATTAACTCAGAAAACTTTAGTGAAACCAACCCGTAAAATAAGAGTTACTTCAACCTAAAGCACTCTGTTAAAACGATTAAAACAATTTGCCGTGCATTCCTGGTTGCATAGTGTGTACCGATCGCGGCAAAAGCGGTGTGGACACGTGATGTTCTTAAATCTCGCCTCTGTTAACTTACATGAAGAGTATATAAGCTCAGGTAGTCCTTTGCTTTGGTGTGACACTACAAGTTGTTCGATACTAAAGAGACCTTAAATAGGTGGAAACAGCTGTCAATACTTGAAGTATTTTAAGTTGGTGGAACGCACTAAAAACATTATCTCTAGCGAGTTGAAGGTTCAATTTTCTGGAATAATACCACTGGTAATATACTTGTAATGCGTCAAGGAACTTCCTGTTTCCTTTTTTTCTATGTAGTATGATTTAATTTAACCAAACACACATAATATTTAACTCCTGAATAGGAGTTCAATTTACACCAGGTAAAATTTATTTTAATACTGTGTGAAAGTTAAATTAACACCATTTTATTATTTGAATTTACACTGGACCAACGAACCATATTTAACACCATTTTGGTTTGTATCGATATAGACCATGTATGGTGTTAATTTGGTGTTAAAATGGTCAGCAAATTTTGAACAGTGCAAAAAGGTACTTTTACTCTAGATACTAACCCTAATATTTTCTGTACTTGTTTGCACATCTCCTTCATCTCTTTCTCCATCATTGTATGTTCTTCAGGAGTTAAGTTTTGTAAATGAAAACGTCTTTGTAACTTTCTTTGAGTAATTTTTAAAAAGGCTTGTTGAATCAAAGTAAAATGATACGCAATAAAATTCATGAGGTTCATTATTAACGAATCCAGACCCACAACATTTTGAGCCGTTGAAAGCATGGCGACAGCTTGGTATATTAGAGCTACCAAATACATTTTAGGGGTGTCATAATTAAAAGGGATCCAGGAGAAATATGGGAGCGGTTGACGTTCAAATTCATCATTTGTGTTGAGTACTTTTAGAGTCGAAAATATCGGAGGTACGTACGAAGCGGTCCAAGTCAAGTAACAAAGAATCAAAAAGGCCCCTGTTGTTTTAACCCCGAACATTTTGTAGCTGTAAAAAATCTCCTCCGGGTTAAACTCTTCACATCTATCGTACTTAAATTGATCTTTCTCCAATCTTTTTATAATCCCTTGCAGTTTATTTATGTTGACATACCAAAATACAACTTTTCCTGTGGCCAATAAATCGGTTAAACCACAGCTTAAGTTTTTTGTAAAATCATCCAAGTCGCGGTATGTATAAAGTAGACTTATAAAATCGGTCATAACGAAAAAACAGTAAATTGATATAAATACAGTTAAAGCATATATCTTGTAAATAAGCTGCACATACCAGTTTTTATTATCGGGTAACCACAATCCAGCAATTTTTAAGATCCACCGGTTAAAAAAGAAAAAATCGTTTTCACTCTTAAACCCGTTGTTTTTTAACATCTTTTGCAACATTATCATCCAATTTATTGGACTATTATAAAAAACTTTGCTTTTTTACAAATTAATTAAATTAAGGGAAATATCACAGATGTATTTTCGTATGCAATTAGAATCCTGATAAAAATTACAAAATATGTAATTATGAATTTGAATTATTAAATTCTTGGTTGCAATAATTATTACATTGCGCTTCTAAACTGGAAATATAACATAAATACGCTCGAAAAAAATTAAAAGAAAAAAATATTTTTTCCGATGGGGTTTAACCATGCCTTACTAATAATACTTTACAATGCACAATGCACAAGAGAAATTTTTGTAGGAAATTTTACGATATAGAAAAAAAGTCTTTAACTTTTTTTAGCATACATATTATTATTTCAAAAAATTGAGCAAAAGAACATACAGAAAAACACATAATTTATTTACTTATATTTAATTAATCGATAATCAATTTTTTGGTAGGCCTCCTCAATATTTAGAGCATATAAAAAGTCCTCATGTGCCCATTTATTGGAATTATTTTTTGGTAACCTGGCTATAGTTTTTTTATTTTTCGGCAAAAGACTATACAAACGTTCAACATCCTAAAAAAATATTGTCTATTGCATAAAATATATACAGTATGGATCTCATTTATGGAATAAAATTCGTTATTCGATTAAAAATTTTTTGGTAAGTTTTTATAATTATGGTACTGTCCCTACATCAATAAAGAAAGCGCTGCATATTTTTGATGTATGTATGAACAATACTAATGTTTTAAAAAATGTCACGCATTCTCACACTCTGTGTTAAGTGTTTTTAATAGCATACTATTGCTATATGCTAGTAGGCGCCACAAATATTTTTTGTTTGAAGCAATTTAATAGAAAGTTGGTTTTAAATTACAAAAATAAATGTATTTCGGAAAAAACTTAATTCAAAAATTTAATTTTTTTCAAAACATATAAAAACGCTGAAAGCCCATTTTATAAATGTTCAGTTATATTTTAGTAATTTACTCATTAAAACTATAGATCTTAATTTTACCATCACAAAAATATACTTTTGTTGTATTAATTGTGGATTTGTTTTTCTATTG